CAGGTCTTTATGAAGGTGTTTTGCCAAGGCAGGAAACAAGTTGGGCTTTTTTTTTTTTTTTTTGGAGACAGAGTCTCACTTTGTTATCCTTGGTAGAGTGCCCTGGTGTCACACAGCTCACAGCAACTTTCACTTCTTGGGCTTAAGCGATTCTCTTGCCTCAGCCTCCCGAGTAGCTGGGACTACAGGCGCCCGCAACAACGCCCGGCTATTTTTGTGTTGCAGTTCAGCCGGGCTGGGGTTGAACCCGCCACTCTCGGTATATGGGGCCGGCGCCACATATACCGGCAGAACCACAGGCGCTGCCCAGGAAGCTAGTTTTTATTTAAAAAGTTCGACAGAGGAGTGGACCTGAGCTTGTGGTCTTCACTGGTTCTCGAATGTTAGGCCTAACCTGATAACCTGTGTTTCAGGAGGCGCATTCTATTCCGCCAGACCTGAAGGAGGCTGGTCTCGCGGGACATGGCCCTGGGGACTTCCGCGCTGCTGCTGCTGCTACTGCTCCTGCCCAGGTTTCCACCCCATGCCGCCGGCTGCCCGGCTGCCTGCCGCTGCTACAGCGCCACGGTAGAGTGCGGCGCACTGAGGCTGCGTGTCGTCCCGCCAGGAATCCCACCCGGGACGCAGGTGGGCGCCAAGTGGAGGCGCTGGGCGGCGGGAGGAGTGTGTGAGCGTTTATGTGGGTGAATGGGGGAGTTCTGGGAGAAAGACCCCTGGCTGCGGGATAAGGTCCCACTTGCCCTGGCCCGCAGACACTGTTCCTGCAGGACAATATCATCGCCCGCATAGAACCGGGCGCCCTGGCTCCGCTCGCCGCTCTGCGTCGTCTCTACTTGCACAACAACAGCTTGCGTGCCCTGGAGCCTGGCGCTTTCCGCGCACAGCCGCGCCTTCTAGAGCTGGCGCTCACCGGCAACCGGCTGCGCGGCTTACGCAGCGGCGTCTTTGCGGGCCTGGCCCAGCTGCGTGTACTCTACCTGGCGGGCAACCACCTGGCGCGGCTGCTGGATTTCACGTTCTTGCACCTGCCGGTGAGCACCAGAGGACAAAAAGGGCGGGGTCCTTCCGTGTCACCACGAGCCTTACCAGGCTGGAGTAGTTAGGGGGAGCAGAGTCAACCCAGTCAAGATCGTAAGGGGACCTGCCTTTCTCAGCACTTTTTCCTGATGATCTGCTGTCCCTACTTCAGCGACTGCAGGAGCTGCACTTGCAAGAAAACAACATTGAGCTGCTGGAAGACCAGGCTCTGGCCGGGCTGTCCTCTCTGGCACTACTGGACCTCAGCAGGAACCAGCTGGGCACCATCAGCCAAGAGGCCTTGCAGCCCCTGGCCAGCCTGCAAGTACTGCGCCTCACAGGTATCTCTCAAGCAAGGCTCTGCCTTGGTCACAGTGGTGGCAGGAGGGAGCAGGCCCACATGTGGAGGGGGGCTCAGACACCAGGCAATTGGGAACACACAGGAAGGCCACACCACCACCTGCAGCCATAGGGGAGGGCTGCCGAGAATAGAGGTGCTGGTGGAGGCACAGTTCCGGTACTCTGCTTAAGGAAAACAGGAAAGCTTGGAGTTCCACAGGTTGATTTGATTTAACACAGTTGAGGGTTTTGCACGATTTGGGGCCATCTGAGGTCAGCCAGCCAAATCTCACCTATGGGCTGAGATTTCCATGGTTTTAGTGTTCGTGGGGTGTCTATGCGGGCACAAGGTGCCCCCAAACAGTGGAGCTTGGAGTGAGCCTCTAAAGGAGCAGCTGCTTTCTCCAAGACCAGTGGAGAAGTGACTGGGAACAGGTCTGCATGAGATGTGGAGGGCTTGCTCCCATCCCAAGGAGGCAGAGGTGAGAAATGGGGTGGCAGGGGTCCTGGACTCCCTGCGAAGAGGCAGTGGGTGGTGGGAAAAGGCTACAGCACTGACTAGCAGAACCTCAAATGCACAGGCTGTTATGCATGGGATCAACCCCAAGCCACCTGCAGCCTGACACTCTCCCACAGAGAACCCATGGCGCTGTGACTGCGCTCTGCACTGGCTGGGCACTTGGATCAAACAGGATGGCCAGCGGCTGCTCAGCTCCATGGACAAGAAGATCATGTGTGCCGAGCCTCCGCGCCTGGCACTTCAGAATCTCCTGGATGTATCCCACAGCAGCCTCATCTGCATTCCACCTTCCGTACATGTGCATCCGCTGGAGCTCACAGCCAACCTGGGTGAGGACCTACGAGTTGCCTGCCAGGCTTCCGGTTACCCGCAGCCCCTGGTGACCTGGAGAAAGGTGTCCCAGCCCCGCGAGGGTCAGTCGCAGGACCAGGCCCAGCTAGAAGACGGATCGCCCGGCCTAGGCGGGCATGCGGCCTCCGACATGGGCAGCGGTATGCTCTTCCTTACCAACATTACGCTGGCACACGCAGGCAAGTACGAGTGCGAGGCCTCCAACGCCGGTGGCGCCGCCCGCGTGCCCTTCCAGCTCCTTGTCAACGCGTCTCGGCAGCAGCCGAAACAGCAGGCGCTCCCGCCGCCCCCCGCCGCCAGCGAGCCCAGGCACGAGGCTGGTAGCATGGCCTTCCGTGCCCTGGGTCTGGTAACGCAGACGGCCGTCGCGGCGGCCATCGCTTTGCTGGCGCTCACGGCGTTGCTGCTGGCCGCCATGATCTGTCGCCGACGCCGCAGGCGGAAAAAGGCTCGGGCGCCGCCGGGGGAGGGCGCGCTATTCGTCAACGACTACTCGGACGGGCCCTGCACCTTCGCGCAGCTTGAAGAGCTCCGCGACGATCGCGGCCATGAGATGTTCGTCATCGACCGCTCTAAGCTGCTGTTCGCCGAGGGGCCGGCGGAGGCGCCCGCGGCCCGTGGCCCAGTAGAGGGGGCGGCGCCTGGGCTCAGTGGCCCGCCGCCGGTCGCCTACGAGCTCTGTGCCTGAGGCCTGGCGCGCGCCGATGACGTAGGTGCCCGGGATTGGCCGGCGCAGCTCACGCATGCTCCGTCAGTAAAGGTGAAGCCGCGCACTGTGCGCCGAGCCTTATGTGGGGCGCCGTGGGCGAGGGCCGGGAGCGTTGCACGCGGGCTCCTAGAGCAGGAAGGCCCCAACACCCCCACGAGGCCCTCTAGGAAAGACACCCAGAAATGCCCCAACTTTTATACCACCCTGGCTGGCAGGCTGTAAGATCTCGGGCGTCCCGAAGGCGGCCCAGGCTGAAGAGCAAGGACTGCCCGGCAACGCTTCTGGTGTTGCCCAGTAAGGGTGGGACGACAGGCTGGATGATGGGTGCTGACTAGTGGCCAGGATGGAGGTGATGGCAGAGATTGGGAGAAGTTACAGACGACCAATTAGTACTGAGAAAACAGCCACAAATTGAATTTCCAGACATACTGCAAGTTAGTACCTTGATGACTCCCTCCAGCCCCAAAGCACAGCACAACGGGCAGCCATAACACCATATGGAGCCCAGAGTGCACGGAGACCTAAGCCTCCCTGCAGCAGGTCCTGTCCAACTTTAAGCCCAGAGCATTAGGCTCTCAGTAAAGGGATGGGAAGGGCCCAAGGAGACCTTCTCTCTCAGCTCACACCTGTATTGGGATGCAGACAGGACTCACACCCAAACTGTGCAGGGCAGTGCAAAAAGCAGGGGGAACTCAAGGTACACCCAGAAGCCAGGCAGAGCCGGCAGGAAAGCAGACTCTAGTGCTTTTGTCACTAGTCCACCAAAAGCCCTATCTACCCAAGGAGACCCCTGATGGCCTGTGTCTCACCGAAAGACTAGCAATCATAGGCTGAAGTAGTCTGCAGCCAGCCGTCCATAGATGTCCGTGGTCCAGAGAACATGTGCACGGCCTGAGGCCAGCAGCAGCTGGTGCAGCTCTGCTTCTACTCGGGCAAACTTCTCTTCATTGATGGAGGCTTCCAGCAGGACAGAAGCAGGTGGTGGCCAGGGCAGACCCTCATAGCAATCCACAGGGAAAGGGTGTACCACGGTGCGCAGTTCAGCCTGAGCTGCTGAGTCCCGCAGCAGCTCCTTGAGGCCCGCCATGGATAGCGGGTTGCCATAGAGGCCAAGATAGCGGAGACTGGCACAGCGAGTTAAGATGGGTAGCGTGGCAAACAGCTGGGTATCAGCAAGCTGGCATTCTGTTAGCTCAAGGTGCAGCAATGTGGCTGACGCTGCCTGCAGCAGACCCTGGAAAGGTGCAAGCTGGCTGCCGGATAGGTCATTGCCACTCAGATCCAACTTCTTGAGGTGGGCGGCATGGGAACTCTGTGCCAGAAAGCGCAGGTCCTCAGGCAGCAGAGCACAGAAGGCCAGCTCCAGGCTCTCCAGGGGACTCTGCAGAGTGCTACAGGGGCACAGAGGTTACAGAGAGGTCACAGACAGGCAGGGCCAGAGGAGGGTCCCCACATAGGGGAAAGGCAGGGGAGTGGTGGGGCCAGCTCACCTAAGCAGCTGGTCCAGCCTCCCTGAAAGAAGAGAGGAGCCCATGCTGAGCTCCCGCAGACAGGTGAAGCGACCCATCTGGGCCAGGAAGTAGCGGAAGTTGTCCTCACCATCCACAGAGGGCTGCCTTGAGTCCCCATGTACATAATGCAGCCTCAGGCTAGCCAGGTGCTGGAAGCGGGCCACATGTGGGATGATCACAGACAGGCCGCGCAGGCCCAAATTATTGAAGCGCAGGTCCACACGGCGCAGACATCCTGCGTCCAGAAGCTGCAGCAGGGCTACCGTATTACGCATGGGCAGGTCCTCAGCTCGCAGGTCTCGGCAGCAAAGCCGCAGGGGACTACCTACACTGCTTCGAAGTGCCTCCCGCAGGAATGCATAGGAGGCCCGGTTCACTCGCAGGTCCACACGCACCTCCACAGGAACAGTGGCCAGCCCTGGCTCCACAGCCCCACCCTGCTGCTGGGCGATGCATGTGCGGGCCACAGCTGCTGTGCAGTCCCACATGCTCATGGTGCCTGGGTCCTGCTCCACACCATCATCGAGGAGGCCTGTCATGTCCAGCACCCGCAGCACGTGCTTCCTGGGAGCAAGGGTGGCCTGAGGTGGGGAACTGGGGGGAGGGCCCACACCCTATCCCTTCTATCTCGGGATAGGAGCAACAAGTCTGCTCCTGCAATCAGCTCCTGCTAACTGCGGGACCCCAACCTGGAACCTTCTCAGGGAACCCTCATTGCACGCGCCCCCCCAGGCCTGAGGGCCTCTCAGGTGGGTCCATACCTGCAGAGGGGCTGCGTGCCAGTCCCTGCCTCCGGGGCATGGAGCCGGGCAGTCAGTCCCAAGATCACTGCCTGCATGCTCTCTGTGCTGGGCCGCTCTTGCAGGAGGGCCCGGCTGCAGTGGGCACACTCCTGCAGTAGCTGCTGGAAGCTGAGCAGTGGGAAGGGCCACGTGTGTACCAGCTCACGTAGTACGACTGTCTTCTTGTCCATGAAAGCCACCTTGAACAGCAGGGGAAAAAGCTCACGAGGCAGTAGGGGCAGGGCCTGGCAGGCAGCTGGCTGGCACTGGAGCACCTGCCGGGTGCTCAGGAACACAAGCGTGTGCATGGCGTTGGACCAGGCAGGTGTCCACCTGCAGGAGAGGAACCTTCAGCATGGAGGAAAGACCCCGGGCCCAGACCACAACCCTTTCCACACAACGGTGGTAGGAAAGCCCAACACAGTGCCTGGTGGTTAGTAGAGGACAGAGTTACAAAGAAGTACCTGTTAGGTGCTAAGCACTGGGCTGGGCAGAGTGGACTAGAGGACAAGGCCACACCCCTCCAGAAGGGCCTCTCCTATACGAACTATGTAGTACCATTTGTAGCCTGTTTAGTTGTGTGTGCTTTTGACAGATGTTTTATTGCCCTCCTGGACCCCCCTGGGTACTTCAGGCCTAAATTACAAAATCTCTTCAGAAACCCTTCTTCAAAAGCAGAATAAAGCCCAGGCCCCTCCCTACCGACTTTCATCAGCACAGAGAAGGTAAGATAAACCAACAGCCATGTCATGTTCTTCACCCACCCTCCTCACAGAGGCCACCCTTGACGTACATGAAGCATAGCAGGGAGAGGTTAGAAAAACACTGAAAACTTCATAAACACTAGGGTAGGCTCAGCGCCTGTGGCTCAAGCGGCTAAGGCGCCAGCCACATATACCTAAGGTGGCGGGTTCGAATCCCCAGCCCGGGCCCACCAAACAACAATGATGGCTGCAACCAAAAAATGGCCAGGCGTTGTGGCAGGCGCCTGTAGTCCCAGCTACTTGGGAGGCTGAGGCAGGAGACTAGCTTGAGCCCAGGAGTTGGAGGTTGCTGTGAGCGTGATGCCATGGGACTCTACCCAGGGGGGATAGCTTGAGGCTCTGTCTCAAAAAAAAAAACAAAAAACAAAAAACAAAAAAAACCACTAGGGCAGGCACAAAGACCCAGGACCTAGAGAATACTGAATCCAGATAACACGGCCTATGAAATCCAAGCCCTCAATGTGAGCCCCAGAAGTAACTACTGCTTTCCAGGGGGTCGCCATGCATGGAGACCCTTTAGAGCAGTGGTTCTCCTGTCTCAACCCACAGGAACTGTATTAAAGGGCCGTGGCATTAAGAAAGCATTAAGAAGGTTAAGCACTGCCTTAGAGAAAGAAATCCTAAACTTCAGTGGTCCTTACCGCTGGTCTAAACCTCTTCCTCTTTACTGGAGAACCCATGTGGAGAGACCAAGTCTTAAATTCACAGGATTTAAAATGTGCCAGACCAGGGATTGCTCAGATGAGGCAAAGACACCAGCCAAATTGGCATCTAAGCTGATAAGATCCCCACAAAAGACTCCTGAAGCCACAGGGTACCTGCGACAGAGTGTGTCAGTCCTGCTGCTCTTAGCAGTGGCAAACTGGCAGACTTACTGTGTGCCAGGCACCTCGTCCTCAAAACTACATCATGGCCATCCTCCTGTGACAAATTAGAAAACTAAGGCCTAGGCCTTGCCCAAGGTCACAGTCCCAGGGACAAACCTGGGAAAGACTGGGGAGGGCAGTACGGACCCAGGAATCCTGCCCTTGCTGACTTTTCCGCCCACGAATAAGTCCTTAAGGAAGCGGTTCCTGAGAAACCCCAGACGCCAACCCTCGGCCTCAATATACCCGCGAAATCTTGCTGGGACGATTCATACCTCGCTCGGGCAGGACACACCAACCAAGCACCTGTCAGGAGAGGAGATGAAGGCAGCCGGCCTAGCGACGGAGGCAGGTGCCGACCCTCCCGCGGGCCTCAGGGGAAAGCGTTCGTCCTGGGCTGTCAGCTATTACAAAGATACCCCTTCCACCTCTGGCCCACGCTCAACCCGACGCTCACCACCCCCCGCCTCCTGCGCGGGGCCTGCGCCTCCAGGCCCGGAGCGTCGCCCACAACGGTCCCGAGGCCGCTCTGCCAGCGCGGAGGGCTCCTAGGTCCTTCCCCGAGAGCGGCTGCACCGCCCGGGCTCCTGGCCCAGAGCGCCCACGCGCCAGCCCCCGCGACCCCCGGTCCGGCAACCCGAGCGCCCAGTCCCCCACCACTTGCAGCTGGGCAGGCCAGTGGCTCGCGCCACCCCACTCGGACCCCCGCCTGGCCCCGCACTCACTGGCACAGCAGTCGTAGCCATCCGCCCCGCCCCGCCCCGCGCCGCGGCGCGCCACGATGACGCAACGCCTCCCGTTGGCCGTGCCGCCCCAGAGCGCGGGGATTGGTTACCGGACGCGGAAGCCTGCCCTCCGGCCCCCGCAGCCCGCTCCATTGGTTGGCGGCGGACACCGCGCTCCCCGCGGGAGATTTGCGGAGCGCGGGCTATGCGGGTGCGCGCGCCATGGAGCGGCTACGAGACCTAAGAACGCAGCTACTGGCATGGGAGCGCGCGTTCGGGAAGCGGCACGGGCGGCGGCCGGTCCAGGTGCGAGCTGCTCAGGGGTCGGGGGCTTGAGGGCGCGGCCACTTGGCTGACACGCTTCATCCACAGGCCGACGTGGAGGAAGCACCTGAGGACACCCGCGGTGAGCTTGCGGCCCAGGACCGGCCGGAAATGGCGGGGACCGGCGCAGGGCGCCGAGGGGCCCAGGCCCGGCTCTGATCCCGACTCCTACCTGCCCATGCAGCGCTCTACCGGGAGTACCGCGCCCTAAAGAGAATCCTGGGCCAGGCTGGCGGCGGGCCCCGCAACCCCGACCCATCTCTCCCCACGGAAGCCGAGGAGGTACCGGGCCCCGACACCCTGGTGTCCCGTGTGGCGGAGTGGTAGAGCCGGGGCCAGTGGTAGTCGCGGGGCCATACCTTTGCGGGGCAGAACTCGGGAGGAGAACCGGGCAAAGCGAAGGACCAGCCCTTGCTCCCATTTAGAGGAGGGGCGGCCGTAGGCTCCCGCCCCTCACACAGGCCCTTTCCGCCCGGCCTTCTGTCTCTGCAGGCCCTGGAGTCCAACTGCTGGGGGCCTCACCTTAACAGGGCTGCAGCCAGGAGTCCAGAGCCTGAGCCAGCGCGGAGATGTCGAGGGCTTGTGCAGGACTACGGGGGGAGACTGAAGGCGAATCTGAGGGGCGCCCTGAAGGTGGGGGACGCAGGCGGCCAGCCGCTTTGCTTCACCGGGCTCTGCTTCTTGTCCAGTCTTCCCCCATGCACCGTGGGACAGGGGCTCTTTCGGGAGGTTCTCAGGGCTGGTTTCTCTGCTTTCCACTTTCCGTGTGGGTGGTACGGTCTCCAGCACTCTTGCGGCCTGAGTTCTGCCTGCTGCTGTTTACCCCCTCCCAGGCTGGGTCTCTATCCCCCAGCCTCCACAAAGACCCGCATCCAGGACAACCAGCCCGAAGCCCTCAGACCCAGAGGCCATCCTGCTCTCTCCAAATGAAGCCAGTGATGTGCAGTTGAAGCCTTCTGGACCCCAACCAAGGCCAGGCCGACTTCAACAGCTGCAGGCATCCCTGAATCTGCGGCTGGTCTCCCTAGACCCAGGCTGGCTGCAGCGGTGTCATACTGGGGCCTCGGATTTTCTGGGGGCCCCCAAAGCCTGCAGGTCTGGCTTGGGCTCAGAGGAGTCACAAACTCTGAACTTTGGTGCAGTGGCCACCCTTGGTCCTGGCACTGGCTCTGAGGTGCTTTCTCAGGGTTCAGAAGTTTCAGGCCTACAGGCAACGCAAGGGGTTTCAAGGAGCCCCCAGCCCAGCAAGAGAAAAAGCAACAAACCAAGGTGGAGTGAAGAGCCCTGGGCGAGTCCTGCACAGGTGGAGCAGGACAGTGGCCAAGCAGAACCCCTGTGTGACAGGGGTGGGGCTGTAGCCCTAGAGGAAGACCCTGCAGGGAAACCTGCTCCAGGACAGCCACCTCTGCCCTGCATTAGCCCCCTGGCCCCGAGGTACCGTGGCTTTAGCCAGGGCAGGGCAGTAGCCCCCTGCCCTCAGCTGAGTCAGCAAAGGCAGGGTAGCTGAGGGCATGTCCCACCTGCACATCTCCTTCAGGTCAGCTGTCAAAAGCAAGGGCAACTACGTGCGCCTCAACATGAAGCACAGACGTTGCACACGGGGTCAGGCACTGCGAGGCAGGCTGCTCCGCAGGCAGGTGAGATAGTAGCAGGATGGGGGCAGCCCTTCTCCCTTTCTGTCTTGTCTGAGATCGCATTTCGTGTCTCTCCAGGCACGGATGCAGAAATGGAAGAAAAGAGGGGAGTGTTTTAGGACTGGTGAGTCCAGAACCACAGTCACGGCTTGTTTGTCCTCTGGACAGCTTGGTCACTGGGCACAGCAGTGTCCGCAGTCAACTGAGGCAGCTACTCTGGGGGGTGGGTCTCACCAATACTGTGTGGGGAGGGCACTGCATTCTGGGGAATAGTCTTGGCCCAAGCAAAAGGCCCTACCAGCTCTCTGTTTGGGTTCCTCAGGAGGGTGGCAAGGATGAGGATGACTTGGCCCTTTCTTGCCTTGTAGGACAGGCTCTGCCCACTCCTGGGACTGTGGGTGATCATGGCTAGTGACTATATTGCTAGAACCATCTCAGCCTAGTCTGGAGCCTTCACACCACATTCTCCTGTCTGCCCCTAGCTGCTGAGGAGGACACAGAGTCTGCTAGGCCTGAGCCCTGGGTACCCCGCCTGGTCCCTGCCGTGCCACCCCTCTACCTGCCAGGGCCCTCAGGGCAGGTGGCAGGTAAGCAGATCTTACTGGCTCAGAGACCAGGGGGTGACTCGGGTTGGCTTAATTCTTGGTGATCAACATCTGCGTCTGCAGAGACACCACCTGAGGTCTTTCATGCCTTGGAGGAGCTTGGACACCAATCCTTCCGCCCTGGGCAGGAACGCACGGTCATGCGGGTTTTGTCTGGTGAGCATGGTTGTTGGGGCTGAGGTGGGGCTGGGGCTGGGCCACACAGGTTTACTGCTGACTCCCATCCTACCCAGGCATCTCCACACTGCTAGTGCTGCCCACAGGCGCTGGGAAATCTCTGTGCTACCAGCTGCCGGCGCTGCTCTACTCTCGGCGCAGCCCCTGCCTCACACTGGTCATCTCCCCGCTCCTCTCACTCATGGATGATCAGGTTTGTCAACAGAACCTTTGACACATGTAGGCAGCCAGGAACTGAACACGACTCCCCTGGGCTGCTGTTCTTGTCCCCAAACTTCCCCACCTGACCCCCAAGAGCTGCAAGGTGCATGGTTAGCCTTGGTCTTAGTCTTTAGCATTAACCTGAGAGCAGCTCAGCTCAATAGGGAGCCATCTCCTCTGGCCCATCTGCTCCAGGGCTCCCCAGTGGTCTGGATCCTTAGTCCTAGGACCCAGGGCCTGATTCTTTTTTTCTTAGAGGGCCTAGGATAGATATAGCAGCACCTCTTGGGTTGAGCAACTCTGCCATGACTGGGGGAAGAGCCAGGGCTTGTCTGGCCTGTGATGGCCTTTTATCCTGTATCTGCAGGTGTCAGGCCTGCCCCCGTGCCTCAAGGCAGCCTGCATCCACTCAGGCATGACCAGGAAGCAGCGGGAGTCTGTCCTGCAGAAGGTAGGGGAGCTCATGAACCTGGGGAGGCAGGCAGTGAGCAGGCACCTGGAGCCTGCACCTGATCCTGCTGCCTTCAGGTACAGGCAGCCCAAGTCCATGTGCTGATGCTATCACCTGAGGCGCTGATGGGGTCAGGGGGCCCTGCCAGCCTCCCCCACGCTGTCCAACTCCCTCCAGTGGCCTTTGCCTGTGTCGATGAGGCCCATTGCATCTCTCAGTGGTCCCACAATTTCAGGCCCTGCTACCTTCGCATCTGCAAGGTGAGCCAGCCACCTGTGGGTCAGGGTGAATGTGCCACGTAGGCTGGGGGCCTTACTACCCACCTCTCCCCTATGCCACAGATGCTTCGAGAGCATCTGGATGTACACTGCTTCCTCGGTCTCACTGCCACGGCCACACACAGCACTGCCCGTGACGTGGCCCAGCACTTGGGTGTAGTGGGAGAGCTAAGTCTTTTGGGGCCAGCCCCCATTCCTGCCAACCTGAACCTCTCTGTGTCCATCGACAAGGACCCAGACAAGGTGGGTATTTTCTGGAGACAGCAGTGAGGGTGTAGCCCCAGACAACCTGTACTCATGGCTGCTTCTCATCAGGCCCTGGTGACACTGCTGCAGGGTGATCGTTTTCGGACCCTAGACTCCATTATTGTTTATTGCAACCGGCGTGAAGACACGGAGCGAGTCGCTGCACTCCTTCGGACCTGTCTGTGTGCAGTTCAGGGCCTGGGCTTTGGAGGTGAGGCCTAGGTAGGGCTGAGTGTCCACATAGACCCACCTCAGATCCAACTGTCCCAGCCCATTTACCATGTCTGTCTTCCCTAAAGGTTGTGCCCCTGAAGCTGTAGCCGAGGCTTACCATGCTGGCTTGTGTAACCGGGAACGGCAGCGAGTGCAGCAGGCCTTCATGCGGGGCCAGTTGCGGGTGGTGGTGGCCACAGTGGCCTTTGGAATGGGGCTGCACCGGCCAGATGTGCGGGCTGTGGTACACCTGGGACTTCCCCCCAGCTTCGAGAACTATGTGCAGGCTGTGGGCCGGGCTGGACGTGATGGGCAGCCTGCTCATTGCCACCTCTTCCTACAGCCCCAGGTAGGTGTCCCCTCCCCAGTGCCCAAGCCCCCAGCACTTCGCCCCCTCTCATGCTTGTCCTGCTACAGGGTCAGGACCTGCAGGAGCTGTGCAGACATGTGTATGCTGACAGTACTGACTTCCTTGCTGTAAAGAAGCTGGTGCAGTGTGTGTTCCCACCTTGCACCTGTGCCCAACTGCCCCCAGTGCAGCAGAGAGGTGTGGGTGGGGATAGGCCTATGGCCAAGTCCACCCTTCAAGAGGCCGAGCATTGTAGCAGTTCCCGAGCAGCCCCAGGACCCAGGAGGACCTGCCCAGGCCACGAGCTGGCCCTCCCAGTACAGCCAACAGTGCAGGCCCTAGACCTGCCAGAGGAGGGTGAGGAACCTCGAGGAGAGGGTAGACATGTGCAGGGCTGCCCCTACATCCTCTGAGGCATGCTCTGCCCCCAGCCATCGAGACTCTGCTGTGCTACTTGGAGCTGCATCCCCAGCACTGGTTGGAGCTGCTGGCCATCACCTATGCCCGTTGTCATCTATGCTGCCCTGGGGGCCCTACCCAGCTCCAAGCCCTGGCCCACAAGTGAGCACACACCTGCCTGAGTTGGGGATGAGGACAGAGGGACAGGGCTGCTAGCCACACATTCCCTCTCCCTGGACACAGGTGTCCCCCTTTGGCGGTGTGCTTGGCTCGACAGTCACCTGAGGACACAAGGCAGGGCAGCACCTCCATGGAATTTGACATGGTTGAGCTGGCAGACACCATGGGCTGGAAGCTGGCCTCTGTACAGCGGGCTTTTCGCCAGCTGCAATGGGACCAAGAGTCCAGGACAGGTGTGCCCATCCCCACCCCAGACCCTGCTTTGCCTGCATGCCTGTGTCTGACGTGTTCTTTGGCAGGTGTGCGGCAGGGTACAGGGGTGCTTGTGGAGTTCAGGGAGCTGGCCTTCCACCTTCGCAGCCCTGGGGATCTGACATCTGAGGAGAGGGACCAGATTTGTAACTTCCTGTATGGCCGTGTGCAGGCCCGGGAGAGAGAGGCCCTGACCCGTTTGCATCGAAACTTCCAGACCTTTCACAGGTGGGGAGAAAGTGGGCAGGACTTGGGGTTACTTGCTGGGGTGGTACTGATGGACTTGTCCCACCCCCAGCGTGGCCTTCCGCAGCTGTGGGCCCTGCCTGGAACAGCCCAGTGAGGAGCAGAGCACCACACTGAAGGCCCTGCTTGGTCGCTACTTTGAGGAAGAGGCAGAGGCAGCACTGGGGCCAGAGCCTGTGGGGGACAAGCAGGGCCCAGAGCAAGAGCAGGCCATGGTGGTGAGTGCCAGCCCATCCTCAGGGCCATTCCTGAGAGGCTGTGGGGAGGTCAGGCTGCGTGTTCCCAACTCTACGTGTACAGAGAGATTGGAGGCACCCCCCACACAGCTCCAGGACTGGGAGGACCAGATCCGCCATGACATCCGCCAGCTCTTGATCCTGCACCCAGAGGAGAAGTTCTCAGGCAGGGCTGTGGCCCGCATCTTCCATGGCATTGGTGAGGGCGCAGGTGGTTCAGTCTGGTGCAGGTAAGAGCCAGGGCAAGACTGGGGAAGAGTTCTCATGGCCCGTGGGTTTGCTCTACCGTAGGCAGCCCCTGCTATCCAGCCCAGGTGTATGGGCGAGACTGTCGTTTCTGGAGAAAGTACCTGCACCTGAGCTTCAATGCCCTGATGCGCCTGGCCACAGAGGAACTCCTACTGGTGGGCCGCTGACTGCCTGGCACCAGCCCCCACGGAGACATGGAGTTGGGGACATGAGGCCACAGTATAGGGAATGTCAGGTGTGGCAGCCCATCCAGTAAACGGGATAGTCAGTGACCAGGCTGGTGACCACACTGGGCAAAACCTGCCAGTAGGGGTCTGGGGACAAGGATACTCCAAACTTCAGAATAAAATATGCTTAAGTTACAACTACTCTAGTGAGGAAGTCCTGGTAGCGTGGGAACAACTGCTTGTCACATGTCCCAGACACATCAGGCCATAGAGACACTTGGCTTTATTGACCACCCTCAGGCCAGGGTGCTGGGTGCCAGGCCCAGGCCTAGGATAGGCAGGGTTGAGAGAATGAGGAGGAAGAAAAAGCAAGGATGTAGCCCCAGGGTGTCAACCAGGGCTCCAGCCACGGTGCCCAACAGCAGCTTCCCCAGCAGCTCCAGTGTGGCCAGGAGACTGTAGTGTGTGGCCTGGGGGAGGTACGAGAATGGGGGTCAGAGCCTATGTAGCAGCCCAGCCTCACAGTCCCTTGCATCCTGGCCATGGCTCTTACCTGCAGGGCACTGGGTGCCAGCTGGCTGCAGCGCATCATCACGGTGAAAGTGGTCGTGGTGACCAGGCCCCCCAGGAAGTGCTGCAGGCACAGGCTCAGCAAGGCTGCTCCTGGAAGGACAGAGGGTAGCAGCACCACACAGCCCAGGGGGCCTGCCCTCAATCCTAAGGATAGCCCCTCACCTTTCAAAGCAGTACTAGGGTGCAGGCTGGCCCCTAGGGTGTCCAGGTGGAAGAGTAGGGCAGTCTGACAGGCCAGGCCCCCAAGGCGGAGCTGCAGCACTGATCCCAGCAAGGGTAATGGCTTCCTGGAGTGGGGGTGGGGAGACTGGGCAGTTCAGGGGATTCTAGAGCAGGTTGGAAGGCAAGTGATTGTGCAGAGAAGGCTGGGGAGCACGTACCAGTGCCTGGCCAGCAAGACACCAGCTAGGAAGGAGCCAGCAATGGAGCAGGCCACAGCACCCAGGCCATTCCACAGCCCCAGCTCTGCAGCAGAAGCACCATGGTCCAGTAGGAGGAGAGGAAACAGGCTGTTGGCACCCTGCTCACCTAGGAGGAGATTGTGGGCAGGGGAGGTCCTGTGTCTGCCCTCCTCTCCCTACCTGGAGATCAGTCCTGCCTTTGTCTCTCTTCCTGGGGCAAATACCAGGAGAAAAATGGCCACTAGCCAAGCCTGGGGCTAATATGAAGCAGCCCCAAAGAGACCTGAGGGCTGTGGTTAAGAAGCTAGAACTGGGCTCAGCCCCTATAGCTCAACCGGCTAAGGCGCTAGCCACGTACACCTAAGGTGGCGGGTTCGAATCCCCAGCCCGGACCCGCCAAACAACAATGACGGCTGCAACCAAAAAATAGCCGGGCGTTGTGGCGGG